CCTTATAGAGACTGCTGAAAACATTCATATATACCTTTATTATTTTGATCGAGTGCCATATTTATTTTTCTGTAATATTTATTATAACCATTTTTGTGGTAAAATACTCTTAAATATAAATATAAGTGAATGAATAAATAGGTATGGAAAACTTTTTTACTACTTGTACACCATACATGAGTTCGCTTTACAGTGACTAGCAATATACTGAATACACATTAATGTATATATATGTTTATACCTTTAGATGTACTACCTTGGGGAGGAAAGTATATAAAATAACCTGTCAAAGAATCTCCTACTTCCTTAGTTGTATAAAATACATTTGTTAAAAATTTATGAATGTTTAATTAGCAAACATCATGTACATTTATGCAACCTGCATATTAATAGCTTATGAAAAAATTTATGTTAAGCTTATCACAATTGAGAATCTTATCGGGAAATGGTTGAGAAGTACAAGTAAGCCATTCATCGCTAGTCACAGAGCACTATCCCCTTGAGTATAAACAATAGCTGTTAAATTACGTAGAAATGTATCATTCGGTGGAATATCTTTTGTTAAAGTGAGATGAAACCACTGAAGATCGCAACTGGCATACTTTGTGATCATAGCTAACAAAAGAATACCAACTAACTATGCTTGTTGTTACTTATACATGATTATCATATTATAATTAACAGTAAAATTGGTCCAGCTTTACGGAATTATACTTCCCAAGTTTTAAGTTAAAATGGATGATCAGTTTGACCACTTGAGATATTCGTGATTTGACAGACTTGTATTACTGATGATGATGGTCATTGAATGTGAAGTGGAAATCTGGGTCACGAAAGGAATCGAACAAGTTACCAAGGTTTTTACCAAACTACTATGTAAATTCATGACGATTTATTATCGCTTGATCGTATTCACACTAAATACCCAGTTAGGACTTATCATCCCAATATAAGTCATCCTGAATTAAAGAGGCGAAGTATCATGTTGATTATACGTTTCACTTCAGGGTTGCCGGTTCAAATCTTGATGCAGGCCACATCTCCAACTTACTTTCTTTCAATCACCACTCAGTATAAAGGTGATAATTTCATCTTCATTCTATTATCAGCGATGTGATAAGGTCTCAATAAATCCAAAACAAAGCAGTGAAGCATCCAACAGTAGTGTAGTTGCCAACGAAAAGATTTTTTAGATGAAGATTGTGATATTTTGAAACTGTTAAGAACAGGTAGAAACTCAGAAATAAGGATTTATGTCAAATGAACATCTTACTGGAAGCATTTTTGAAACCTGAAATAATTTTTTTGGCAGTTCAGTTGGAACAGAGGTCGATCCAACTTAAAGGTCACCACTAATTTCGTTTAGTTTTCATTAAAGGTTAAGTATAAGAACCAACTGGTTGAAATGAATGACTATTCATATATGAAGTGTATTCTAGTGAAGTTAGAAGAAAATTGTGAAACTTTAGTGCCAAATATGTGTCCAAATTATTATGTGGAATCGACAAACTCAGAAAAATGTTGTAGAGTGTATTAAGATATATACTTATGGGATACTTGAGCTCATAGTGCAGTAACTACGTTTTTAGAATGATGGAATATGCTTGAGAAGAGTGAATGATTCTAAGCTAATAAGATCAGTAAAAATGTCTTTTAGTAGTCTGAGTTTGCGAAACGTTAAATTATGCAAACCTGCCGTTGAGTCTTTCGAGACTAATTTTACGGTTTCTAGGTATCAAGTTACCTCTGCAAATTCTATTTTGATTGTATCGTTAGAGAAGATCAACTTTACATGATTTCATTTTGACTTTACCTGTAATTTCGTCTATTTTTTAAAGAATATCTTATATTCAGCAAAGTTCTATTGTTGCCATCATTATATCTTAATCGGCTATACTGCTTCGGAAAACATTTTGTTCCCTAAGAGTTTCGTGCAATATTGAATAATCGTTTAACAGGGAAATTTTTTACAACGGTTTATTTTGACTCTTTTGCGAGTGATTTACAATTTGCATTGTCCATATAAATATTCCTCACAGATGAATAATTTTCCAGCTGATCAAAGAAAGTATCAACAGGGTTGCCACTGGAAACCACACTGTTAGGGTCAAAAAATGTGGTCTTTGACAAAAAATGTTTCATGAACTAACGTAACATACTACTCCTGGACAACTTGAGTAGTTTTAAACCATCCAAGCTGATGAGTAGATTTTGTCAACCAGGTGAGAGTGATCTATACTGCAGATGAACTCGACCGTCTAGCGTTTATTATAACTGTGATTAGGAATACATGCAGAATATTGTTTACACTGTCAGGAATTTGATGGTTTAACTTCTGAAGGGGAATATGGAAATAATCAGAAAGGAAAACACAATTATAAATGAAATATATCTGCAAAATCCTATTGAAATAGAAAAATAAATTTCTAACGTTTTGCGGCTTCATGGAAACTGCTTCTTAAGGGAATAAAACCTGTTCAAGTTCTTGACTTTTTAAATAGTAAATGATGACAAATCAGACCACGTTATACATGCATGATAAGAATATGGGCATAAATGTCATTGCTATGTTAGTCAGGAAGGGTTTAAACTTATCTTTCTTATCCGTTATAAGTTTGGAGTAAAAGATGATATGAATATGTGCACATGTGACTGAGTGTGAATGTGTAAGAAGTCAGTAACATATCCAATGTATTACATTCCAGTAACTACCCAAAGAATGTCATTCAAAAATTCAGAAGCATGAGCGGAGGGACCCAAGAAGAAGTTCATACGATGATCCCTAGATTATCACAGTAGTTCTGCCATTCCGCCAAGGCACAACTCAAGAGCTACAAAGAATCTCAAGGAATCACCGAATTAGAGCATTTTACAAGACAACCAACACTATCAGAAATTCCCTTTACTTCTACGTAGAATTGTGTTTACAAATTAAGCTGTGTCGATTGTGATGCCTATTATATTGGGTAATCATCCCATGAGATACTCATTCGTGCTAAAAAGCATACAAGTTTCATAAAACGACAGCCAAATATTCCTGTAGAACTGCAGAATTAACAAATCAAGTTAGCAGTCGTAGTTTATGCATAATACCATTGTCAAAAAATCGATAATGAAAATGTTGATTTGTTCAAAAAGGTTTTTCAAACTACAAAAAACAAGAACAGCTGGAGCATTCCACATCATTTTATATTATCTTTTTAGGGGACTAAGGCATCCCTGAGAGTGTTGGTTGCCTTGTAAAATGGTCTATTTTGGTGCTTCCATAAGATTTTTCTTAGCTGCTGAGTTGTACCTTGGCGGGATGCTATAACTTCTGTGCTAATCCAAGAATTAGTATTTGAATAGCTGAAGTATTTCATATCATTCTGTGAAGAATCAATTTCCATGAAGTCATTAAACGTCAGAAATTTATTTTTCTACTTCACTGGAATTTCACATATATATTTTATTGATAATCTATTCGCCCAATGCTCAACTTATTCAAATCTATCACGTCAAATCTCAATCCTGAAGTTTATAAAGAAATAAGAGTGTTTATCCTTACACTATCTTTACATTCAAATCAGCTTTATATTATGAAGAACAATATAATGTAATGAACGAGCGTTCTTAGCCTGATTAAAACACAATACTATACTTTTCCTAACATTACGGTTCCTGAAATCATTAAGACAACGTCATTTTTCAAGCTCAAGAATGATATGTTACATCAGAAACCCTAGTAAACAAAAGAATGGTCCATCATCAAGGTACAGAAATAAATAGTGCTGATTGGTGGGAGGAGGCTAATGATGCAAATAGATGGTAGTCAGATACATAAACATACGTTACATTTCAGTGAAAAATAAAAATCACCCTAGTTAACAGGGAATCATGAATGAAATGTCACCACTGCATTTATCAGGTTGTAGGAAAGAAGGAAAAAGGGGTTTAACCAAGTGATAACTTGGCTTTACAATGCTTAGCTTGAATTTTCTCTTAAGTATTTTCCTCCACTATAACAACTTCATCAGTATATTTTCTTTATGTTAGGAATAATATTCATTATGCGTTCTATATATTCTTCTTTGAGTTAAATACATTAAATGTAGTTGTATTTCAATCATGAACAAACGATTGTTGAAGTCAAAAGAAAATAACGTTCGAGTGTTAAGATGGTCACTCTATCATGACTTTACTTTTCTGTCAGTTTAAATCACTACCTCTGAAGAAATCTCATTAGCACTAAGAGAAACATGGTAGTTCCTATGTCATTTACTAAATCACCTGATAACAAGTGTTTTCTACGGTTATCTTATATCCTAAAGTTTTTTTATACTTTTCTGTTCTTACTTCTATATTTATTCGACTATATAACTTAAATGTCATTTCGCCTATCTTAAATACCTATATTTTAGCAGACTGGTATTGGCACTCTGTGATGATGGAAGGTGGAATGGAAATTTGGACCGTGGATGGATTCAAACCAATGATCATCAAGTTTTCGGCCCTATGCCTTTCCAACTGACTTACGAGGTTCGTCTGCTGATCAAATTTTGATTTCACCCAGTATCACTCAGCACCAATACTAGTCTACCAAACCACGGGTATCTCCAATGGTCAAAAAGATAATCGATATGATGCTCCTTCTCTTCAATTCATTTAGATTTATATTGGAGTGAGAGATTCTGACTGTGTAGCCAGTGTGAGTACAATCAAGAGGTACCAACTTGTCACGAATCAACATGGTAGTCAGGCGAAGCTTTTGGTGATTGAAGTCAAGTAAAAACTTGGTCATTAGTCAGACCTTGAAGCTCAGTTGGTGTAGCACTAAGCATGAAACTCGGTGTTCGCTAGTCTTAATCTGGCCGTAGTTCAAATTTTCACTACACCTTCAATCATCACCCAAAATGAACATAATTAAATAATAATTATTCATAAATTACAGATATGTGAAAAAAAAATTAGCAGAACAAACAGTCATAAAGATGAGTATCTGGAAACAATATTTAACTTACATGTTTACTGCTGTTTAAAAGATCACTAGTTTTTTTTTTATTATTTGGCTACAAATATTAATAATAGTGTTAATAAGTGATGATATAATGCGTTTGGATGGGAAATACTTTTTTTCCGATATATCTAACTAATAAGCAGGCATATAGCAAGAACAGTAGATTATAGTAATGTTGCTTAAGCCTTATTTCTATTTATATCGTTGTTTTTTTAATCGATGTTGTAAACGACATTTAGTTAGAATTTAACTAGAACGGGGTTGTGTGTTACTTTTTCTGCATAAAAGACAAGTAATTAGTTATTGTAATGAGTATATGTAGTTCTTGCTGAAGACAAATTTGCTTTGACTAACTTAAGTGTATCCTAAAGTCTGTACATTATTATTATTACTGTAATTATTACTATTATCATTATCATTATTTTGTTTCATTATGTGACATAAACCATTTTTGATTGGATGTCGTCAGTGCTAATTTAATTATTTATTTTCCGTCTTCTATTTAATTTCCACTTTTTTTTTCTAGCCTACTTCTATTGTATGTGGGGGCGAATGGAGGTTAACTGAATAAAAAATTGCAGAGGAATAGTTTTCAACTGCACTTTTGAAGATAATAATGAATAGAGTAGAAAAGTGTAACAACTTTATTTATTCAGCAAAAAAAAGGGAATAAGGTTGAAGTTAACTGTTTTAAATATTATTCAAGTTTATGTATTAAAGAATGAAGTATGTTTTAAACAACGTTAATGCAAAGCAGACTAAAGTGTACACTTACATGCAGATAATTTTTTTATTATCCAGAAATTTCAGGGTCAATTTACCAAGTCGGAGGGAAATTTCAAAGAGGATTATCTGGGTCGATTTATTTGAAGTAGGAATTAAGTTCTTTTGTTGAAGTATTCAAGGAGTTATGCTCTACAAAATCATTTTTACATTAGTCTTTTTAATCGCGCACAGAAATATTAGCATGTGATATGTATATACATTTATAAATGGACATATGTATGAGACTCAACTTTCATTTCACGGAAATCATTTCTTGAAGAGTTTTTGTCTTAAGGATGATAAAAATATTTCCTTTGTTTGAAACTGAAAAGTGTTAGTAGTCTTTTTTGTCAGCTTCACACTGTATATTAAACATGGTCTCTATAGCTTCAATTCAGTGATAAAAGGTTAAGATCACCGTACTGTTTTGTGCTGTCTGAATCATAAGTCAGAGAAAAACTCAGGTCTACATATTTTCGATTTTCTGAAGTGCTTCAGTTCATTTGACTAAGTGGTATAAATTGAAAGTTCTACTCAAGGAAAACGTTATGATTGGTAAGAAGTAGTTACCACTTAAAGTTTATCTACATGTCTTGGGGTTCTGGAGAAAATATCGTGGTGGGTAGTGCCAGTCAGGTCAAAAGTTATGATACACACTCACCAGTAATACTTACTGATGGCTGCAACTTGAAAGGGTAGGTGGTCGGATTACACACCTCAAGTCAAATGATAAGAAACTCATTGTAAAACTTCAATATCCTGTTCTTGACGTTGTCTAAGGCTGAAACTGCTTACTGATAAATTTAAAATGGGCAACAAAACAGCTTACAGGTGTCTCTACATACTCAGTGGCTTATCTATTTAAGTCGATTAACGATACATTCTTTACGATTCAAACAAAATTTTATCCCTTTAGTATCCCGGTTGTTTTGAATGCATCTGTATATCTACATCAGTGTGGATATGCACCTGAACATATGAATAGTGTCTAAAAATGGCTTTATTTTAGATGGTTTGGTATAGTGGTTTTCTAATCTTTAGATTTACTTCTTGCTGACTTCAGCTACAACGCATGGGATCATCTTCTGTTTGGTCAAACGAAAAATTGAGCTAAAAGGACAGTTAGAGATGAACTTTAGCGGATGTATGATATTCAGAACCCACTGAAAAAAGATTAAAAGTTAGATAGTTAAACAGGAAAACTTTTTTAGAGACCGATCAATTCGGTCCAACCAACGACGGTATGATAAGGGAACAAGTATACTAAAACTTTTTTAAGTCTGAAGGAAGAAATAATTTCTGGCCAAACTTATTGTTATTCAGAATAAGCAACCAGTAACCTCTGTGTCACATAAATCAAGTTGTCTTATATTTGTCGATGCTCTGCAAGTTTCATTTCTCTTACCTAGGGCATCTAACGTCAAACTTAGTGTTATTCTCAATTCCGACTTTTCATATGGAAGTGAATAAAATGAATACACTTCCATCATGTTTACATAAGAACACATTAAGACACAATGGCAATCTCATGTACTCTTAGTAGCAATGTGTAAAGTCACAGTGATAGTCTTAGTGTGAAAATAACAATAGTTGTATTCCGTGTATGTTGTGAAAAGTATCATTTTGATTTATGTCAGGTGGATGAAGGGAATCGTACGGAAGCCCTGGACCTAAGTTTCGTGCTTTTTGGCACGAGTCAGCGTGGTGTATCTAGAAACGTCATTGATGGTCAGAGACTTTACCACTAAGCTACTCGATCCAAACAGCCCAGTGACTACGTTTTTGATTACAACAAGGAGTGACGCGGATTCTAATCTCAAGTGGGACATCAGTTCTCTATAGGTTGTAGATACACCTTGCTGGCGACTCCTAAAATTCCTGAAACTTTGTCAAACAGTCCTTCCTACCATTTGCTTCCAACTAACTGACGTCTGTCAAAATGCACTGCCATGTGTGAAACTAAACAATGTAAAGTTAGTTACCCTCCAGCGACCAATCAATGCGGATTCATTTCTTCTATTGATTAGCCTTCTTTCCACGAAATTTCTGAACAAAGTAGTGACAGGTTCACAGAATGGAGTACGATGACATTGTCTGAAATAAAGAAATATTTGTCGGTGAAGAGGATTTATTCGGAAATTCTTGTTATATATATATATATATATATATATATATATATATATATATATATATATGGATATGTAGTGGTAGTATAAAAATGTCATTAAAAGTCGTCACAAAGATCAAAGGTTAATTTAAGCTAGGAATAAAACACATTGAAATATGGACCGGAAGGTAAAAGTAGTACAATGTAGGAGTCCCAAAAAGTGATTTCCATGATCTATAAGAGACATATGGATGTTGTTTTCATTGTTAGTGACGAAATAACTAGGTGAAGTAAAATTATGGAGATCTTGAATAATGCTTCTTCATAAATTTTTATTTTCGCTTGAAGTGGAATTAGAATACAAACTCGCTTTTCTACATGTCTCATTCTCACTTCAAGGATACATATCCATAAGCAGTTGTATTCCAGAACATTTCCTTCCTTTAGAACACGCAATATATGTGCATAACTCATCCAATATGACAAACCAGGTGGGGAAGAGCCGTTCACAGAGATTCTGTTTGGCTTCTTTGTACGCAAGAAGCTGTGGTTATTCAAAAAAGAATTTTGAACTCCGTGTACATCAGTGTTACCTGCAGTCTTTAATGTTTTAATTGTTTTTTTGTAGTTCTCTGAGTTTCGCCAAATGTTTTTCTATGTAATCTACTTGGATTCCGCTTACTGCAGCCAAGCCTTCTTGTATAAAATATTACAATTCCTCGATTCCAACCTTGTAAAAGGAAGTACTTCTAGGTTGTGTTCATTATTTACGCCTATTTATTTTTGATATGTAAGACTATCTTGCTCCCTCCTTCATTGGACTGCTTTTTATCTCCTGCTTCACAGTTCATCACTTCTTGCTGCTAACTGGCATTACCTTGTAGTCTGTTTGATGGCTAGCAGGGAATCTAGGACATGCATTTCATCCTACTTGGAACGCGTCAGCTAGATGTATCTGCACCCCAGTGAGTGATGTTATTCCCACTGAGACTTGAACCTCGTATCCATTGCATTAAACACCACATGCGTTATTCACTAGGTTAATGGGGCAGTGAGGGTTGCCCCTCATAGTTATTCAGTGATCTTAAGTTTACGGTGGTTCGCCAAATGATGTCACTCCATGATGAATACAACCTAATATATATATATATATATATATATATATATATATATATATATGGCAGTTGTAAACTTTTATTCACTTGACTTCTCACATAGTTATTAATCGTTGATGATAGTATAAAAGTCTGTTGTTCTGTATCATTTGTCAACATCATAAACGTGGCACACTATTTAACTTATAGAAAGATCGCAGAGAATGATGCTATTACTTGTTATCTTTTGTATTGCTGACCTATGAAATTTTCAAAAATTCATTGCATTTTCCTAGGCCGAAACCCCACAATGCTTATAGATTTTAATGTTAGAAGTTAAAGACATTGTTATTATACACAAAGTAAACCTTTAATTCTAGTAAGAAATTTTAAGTCAGAAAAAAACTCACTTATTAATTCAACCAATGAATATTATTGTCGAAAATAACTCTTCAGAGGTTTGATGCATTACCTGTACTATTTACTTAATATAGTACAAATTTAAGACAATGATATTTTAATCTCATTACAGTAAATTGAAATACGAGACATAAACAACTGATTTCCATTCAGATTACTTAGGATCAATTGTTCTGTTTGAGTGACAGGTGAATATTATAAACGCAAAATAAAACTTAAATTCTTTGGAAAAAAAACATTTTATTTTGCTTTAATGGCTAGAAAAAAAAAATTTAAATCGTAATGGTGTATTTATGATAGATTTATGTATTGAAAAAGATAATTGCTAAATTGTTTCGTCTACATTCATATGATAAGTATCATACTGAATCACCGAAAACAAGAAAAAGGTTTGACATACTACTTACTAATACAACCGTTAGTGAATCTACATGTCTTGTAATGTTTTTAGTATTTCAAGAGTAGCATACAGGTGAAACTTAATGTTCATTGGTAAATGAATATTCATTTTGATGAGGTTGTTGACTTATTTGACTTATTTTTTCATTTAGGCAAAACCAAATATAATGGTAGAAGAACACCAATTTGTTTGATACTCTTTAGTGAGCTGAGCTTATAGTATAATTTGCATTTCACAACTAATGGCTGATTAGGGTGATGCCAGATATTTGGAGGCAATCAGTACAGAGATATACTCAACCTAGGTTTTATGGTTGTGGGTACTCCACCCCATAACGAGTATTTACGACATAGAAGCAAGTGATGTAACCTCTGAGTTTCAAACCCACATTACTGAAGAGTGCTCTACTCAGTGAAGTTACCCCAGATCTATTCTGACCACGAGTAACATCCCACAGAACTTAGATTTATTAATTGATTACCGTTAAGTAACCAATTTCATGGTGTCGAGTCCCGAGTGCTGACTGTTCTCCATTGATCCCTTTGTAATTTAGTTATCAGACTCAGAGACTGAGCATTATGATGTACTTTGATTGATGTCAAATATTTGGAGGTAGTCAATAAGAAGACCTAGAGCCTTGTTTCGTGCTTTTTGGGACTCGTCAGCAGAGCATGCAAGATAAACCACTTTCATATCGGGTCTTTTCTAAAGCTACCAATAGCGTGAAATATACATGGAATTATTGTAACTAGAATGGATGATGTACTGATCAGTCACGAGAGTGCAACCAATTTCATTTTGTTTAGTCCTGAATGCAGACCGAATTCTATCGATCATATTTGCAATTTGGTAATCAAGCTAGCAGGCTCAGCATCGTGGTGCATATAAGTAGATGTTAGTTGGTTAAAGGCAATCGATAGAAAAACCTTGACCTAGGTTTCGTGCTTGTTGGCACTCATCAGCAAGGTATATCTACAATCTCAAATAAAATGGTTTTTCGGATGAGATTCGAATGCGTGTCACAGTGTTATAGTCAGTGACTTTACCACTCAGGTATTCGGGCTGCTTCTGACCTCTAATAGGATTGGGTTACATGTATTTGTTGGTCACGGGAGTGCAACCAATTTAATGTTGTCTGGTCTTAAGTGCAGACTTAATCCTATTGATGTGCGTGTACGTGTAACCCAGTACTACAGCCTGAGTAGCTCATTGGTAAAGTAGCTGACTACAACATTGGGTGACGCAGGTTAGAATCTCAGATGAGACATCAATTCCGTTTTAGTTGCAGATATGCCCTGCTGATGTGTACCAACAAGCATAAAACCTAGATCAAGAGCTTCCTGCCGATTGCCTTCAACCAACTAACATCCAGAACGGGCAAGTTTGTTAAGCAGGTGGACTATAAAACCCCGTTAGAATAAATCAGGCAGAAAGATGATAGATAAGTGGTAAATGCAAAATTATAAGCGACAACTAAATAATGCGTGAATTATTGAGTGGGTGAGAAGGCGATTCTCAGGTATGCAATAAAAAATCTTACCACTCGGCAACAAAGGAGATGATTTGCATATTTCACGTAAGAAAACAATGCGCTAAAAAGATGCAGAAAAAGGTTCTTAGTAATAATTCAACATTTTGTTGAAAAACTAAGTTAAATAACTCATCGTCTTCCTTGTGCAAAAATTTTATTGAGGTTATTTCAGTGGTATCATTTAAGGAAAGCAAGGAAGAAGTAAGCTCACTAGCTGAATGATGATTATAAATACAGTCCATGTATCTATTTCGCAGTCTTGAATCGATCAAATGTCAAGTGATTGTATTTGCGAGTGATTGAAAATCGTTTAATAATGATGGGCAATGGCTAGCAGTGGAATCGAGGATGCGCATTTTATTCTACTTGGGACTCGTCAGTTGAATATACCTGCCTCCCAGTGAGTGATGTTGTTCCCACCGGGACTCAGACTCGGGAGCGATCGCTTCAAACGCCATAGCGTTATCCACTGCACCACCGAACCACGGTAGCCACTTCTTGTGCGACGGGTATAGGTTTAGTGTTACTGCTTGTATTATACCGTCGTTGATTGAACCGAATTGATCAGTCTGTGTTGGCATATGGGCTCGTGTGCGGATGCTTCCATATTGCCTGTCTTTTAACTATGTATAGTAATGATGTTTTCCAAATGTATTCGGAAATCTCATGGAGACCAATCTTAGTGTTCTCTATTATATTTTCTATTATATGTACGTGTGTTTGAATTCATGTATCCAATTAACGATATCTAGGGGTCGGTTCTCTTTCACTGTCGACCGAAAAAATACTCTAGCGCTGCTGACGACTTGGATAACTCTAGCTACCACGTAGGTTCTAGCAAAAGGCAGCAGTTATTCTTTTGTTTATTTGTTCTTAAATGTTATTTCATTTAAGAAGCAACTGAGTGTAAACTTATTTCCATTTGACAGTAGCAACAT